CCAATGGGAAGGGTAGCGGTCGTACGCCAATTACCATGTTTCTTTTTTATTAGTGTAGGTATATATATATATATATATACACACACACATATGTACATGCATATACATACTAGAGGCCTGGTGTATGAAATTCACACATGGGTAGGGTCTGGCCAGCGATCAGGACTGATCTGTAGGGCGACCAGCGAGGGGATCAGGAGGTCCCTGCTGGCACCTGCCTTGGCCAGCCTGGGGCCTGCAGGCTGGGGGCAGCTCCTGCATTGAGCATCTTCCCCTTGGTGGTCAGTGTGTGTCATAGTGACCGGGTCGTTCCACTGATCATTTGGCAGTTTGGTCAATTTGCATATTAGGCTTTTAATATATAGGATTTGTGTGTGTATGTGTGTGTGTATGTGTGTGTGTATGTGCGTGTTTGCTTAATCCCTTCACTTTCTTTCATTTAGTCCTCTAACCACCCTCCCCCCATGCCTAAACATCAAGGCTTCTCCTTTTTTCCAAGCTTCTCAGTTTTATTGTGGGGATTTTCCCAGTTTGCCTTATGGAGGGGTCCCACCCTAGTTATGGGGAAGTACTTAAAAGTTGTTCAGTTGACAGAATTTACAGTATCAGAATGAGAAAGGGCTGTGGAGACCATTTTTAATCACCTTATTTACCAATAAGAAGACTGAGGCCCACAGAGGGAGCTGACCTGTCTACATTCCCCAGGTTGGATTTACAACTGTCCATGCCAAACCTGTGATGAGGAGCAGAGCTGACCTCCACAATCAAAGCGAAGGGGAGAATTAAGGTCAGGACTTGGCTAGTATCAGTTCCCATTCTGGACTTGTTTGATAAAATGAAAGAATCCTATATGAAATATTAGGTGTAAGGCAGCTTGGAAATAATCTGGTGTAATCCTTTAGCTTTGTAGGTGACAAAAATGAGGCTCCGAAAGGCAAAATGAGTCCTGATTAGGGACTTGAACACAGGTCTCCTAGTTCCCAGTCACTGACCGCACCTGTGATCTCAGCTGTGCACCATATACCCAGCTCGTCAGAGACAGTCCGACATACAATTTCCAGATACAGGTACCTGACTCAGCCCTGGCTTTGCCTTGGCAATGGCAATTGGGCATCAGCTCTCAGCTTGGATGGTGTGTTCCCAGAGCAACATGGCGAGTGTGAGCTGCCAACTTTGAAGTCTCAGGGGATGTAGTGTTGAGCCAGTTAAACATCCAGAAATGCCCTGTCTCTCAGAAACAAGGATGACTCATCAGAGTGCTTGAACTCTGACTGGGAACAGCATTAGAGTGGCCAGGGGGGCTAAAAACCCATGCACAGAAGCCTCTGGCTTCCCTCTCTCTGGCCCTTTGTTCACAACCCTCTTCTCCAATCCACAGCCAACACACATATCACTCAGAAGCCAAACCTCCCCCTCTCTGAAGCCTTCCTTGACTGTTCAAGCCCAGAGGAGGTCTTTTACATCTTGAGAATCTGCTCTATACAATTTGGCACTTGAATTATACACTCTTTTATTGCTTCTTTTTACCTGGTTTGAGTGTTTCATAGCCAACACAGATTGCAAATTCTCTGAGGGGCATAAGTAAGGTTCTTCCTCTGTACCCTACGGTGCATCTCGGAATGTCCCAAAGAGCAGAGACATGCTCCTTCAAGCCTCTTTCCCATTTACCTTGTTTGCTCAATGAATGCTCAATAAATCCTCACTTGTTTCACTGCGGCTTCAACCTTTTCAAAGATAGAGTTCAGCAGCCAGCACCTCTGTTTGCCCATGCCAACCCTCTGCAAATTAGAGAAAAGGCCACCTTCCTCCAGGCTGACCTGGCCCTGCAAGATGGGCTAAGAGAGTATGGGATGGACTTCAGTCCCTCGGCTAGGCACCCCATGCAGTGAGCCACCTGTACCATCTGGGTGCTGGCTCCTCATGAGGGCACAGCAAACTGCCCTCCCCAAGATCCTCCAACCCCTATTCTGACCAGGAAGGCCTTACCTGGGAAAGCTGGCATCTCTGTTTTCCAGCCCCCTCCCTGTCAAAACCAAACAAAAATGTACACCTTCAATAGCTCCTCGATACTAGAGCCTAAAGTATCTGCTGACAGGGCATTGGGAGCCCCTATAATAATGTCCCAACCTTCCTTTCTTCCACTGCCCAGAACGCACCATGGATTGTCCTCCTTCCATAATTTTGCTTTCCCTCAGCCTAGAGTGTCCTTGCCTACTGATCTTTGTGTCAGGTCCCTACTCCCCTTTTCAAATCCCATCACTAATGTACCTCCTCCCTAATGTCTCAGTCATCATAACTTAGTCTTCCTGGGGCTTCTTCCCACCCCTGGCTCTCCTGCCTTTCACGTTGCTTTGACCTCTATTACCACCCTTTCCCCACATGTCATTAGTATGTCGCCTAGGGGCCTGCTGTCTTTAAGCCATCTGTCCATACAGTCTTCTCTGTACTCCCCCTGAATCAATCCACATGCTGAATTCAGCAACATCCTAAGTTCCCCAAAAGAATCCACTCATGAGCAAATTCAGGGACAATATTGCCTTTACAAATGATTTCTTTCATAGGAGACTGGAGAACAGGGACTTCATAGCTCTTCTTGCCCCCTCAGCAAACTATTTTTTGCAAGTATTCCTGTTCTCCAAATCCTTGTTTGGCAGCCCTGTTCTGGGAGTCTCTCTGTCATTACTCTCCAATATGCTCCCACTCAAGTCAAATCTCCACACTCTATCTCTGTGTGTCTTCTCTATTCCTCTCATTCAACTTCCCTCCTGTTTTAATAGGCAGAACAATTCAATGTTGCCCCAACCCCTACCTGCAAGAAATGCATCTCCAAATGCATCAAGATGCTCAGCTAAATATAGTCTCTCCCTCCCTTTCTCCTTCTTTAGAAGGAGTCAAGACTAGACAGGGCAAGAACGTTTTTCTTGTGACGGGTGAGTGTTTTCCTCCACAGAGAATGTAAGTTTAGAAATCAAGGATTGTGTGTTCCACATCTACCCAACCAGCACCATGAAAATACATCAATTAAGGCCGTGACCAGCTTTCTCCTCTACCAGGGACAGAGGGTGTTCTAAGCCCTTTCTGTCTCTCTGTTCCTCTTTCCTCTCAAGTAAGGCCCAGGACTAGAGTCAGGGAAAGTGAAGACATAGTTGGAGCTTAATAGGTAGCTGTGAAATGAAGAAGTCAGCAAGTGAAAGGGAAATAAGGAAAGGTAGAAGAGCTTTCACAGTCCCCTCAGCAGGATTTTTTCAGTCTAGCTACAGGGAGCTTTGAGTACCAACCCAGGGTGACAGAATGAGATGTGACTAGTGGATGGCAGCATGAAGTGTGAACACAGGATTCTAGTGTTGGCTCTGCCTCAATTGCCGTTTGGAACCTTGGGGAAGTCTCTGAGCCCCAGCTCCTCATCTGTCCCATTAGTCTGCCTGCATATGACCCAATATGGACACTTACCATCAGGGTCCTTGGGGCCGTTTTGACATTCATGTTTGAGGCTTCTTCCCCAAATGCCCAGACACCCAAAGCCCCTTGGCGCCTCTGCATCTGCAGAAAGCTTTTCTTGGCTGTAGTCCTGACTCGGGGACCTTCGCTGCCTGCTGGTGGAAAAGAATTCTCAGCTGTGGAAACTGGTAAACTACATATTTTACAGATGAGAGTCCAAATTCCTGATGACTCTAAATGTGGTATGCAATGGACAGAAGTCATCCCGCTGGTGTGACTTCCTGCTGGTGTCACCACCACCACCACTGCCCCATGTGGACATGCACGTCATGGAAAGACAAGAAGCAGCAAGTCACTGGTGTCTTGGCCAACGCTGGCTCTCACCCCTTACCCCTCACCCCAGTGCCTGTTCTGTGCTTGCCTACATTTTAAAAGTAAGATGTGGTCTATTTATTGTGCAGGAAAACAGTTCATGGTCATCTAACAGCAAAGAAGAAGGAACGAACAAGCCCCAGTCTCTGAGATCTGATCTGGCCTCCAGTCCCCACGCTCTTGGAGGAGGGGGTAACTTTTCATATTGAACAGCCACCAGTCCCTTGCCACCAAGGTCAGAGATGTCAGACATTTGGAGGCTGGAGATATGCAGTCCCAGGGAAGCAGAGAGAACTTGTTGATTTTCTTTTTTCTCTGATTGGGCCGAGATATGAAGGCAGCCTAGATCTGGTTGAGATGTGGAAATGCCCAGTGGCTATTTTACTTGTCAACCAGTTTTCCACCTTTCCCCAAATCAGTGGGCCTCTGGCGCCCTGCGGAGCCCCACTGCTGCATCCTTTCCGAACCCCTAAGCTTCTAACGCTTCCTCCCAAACTGAAGCCCTACCAGGGAGAAATGCCCAAATCATTCATGCCTGCGCCCAAGTTGCGCCAAAGGCACACCGGCATTCATAATATGTGCATGTGCGCGTGTGTGTTTGGCATGTGTATGTGTGTATGTGTGTACAAGCGCGCGCGCACGCGGGAGTGTGGCAGGGGCGGGCTCTGCGCCCGGGGGCAGGGCTCAGTGCTGAGAGTGGCAGCAGGACTTACCAAGCCGCTAGGGGCAGGGAGCCGCAGTGCCGTACTAGCCGGCAGCCGCTGAGGACTCTGCTGCGGGGCCGCGGATAACGGAGCAGGCAGAGGACCCTGGCATTGCCTAACCCCAGCAGGGCCGCCCGAGCTCTGCAGCGCCCACTCGGGCTGCCATCCCCTCCCCGAGCCGGCTGCGCGGGCGGGAAGACGCTCAGACGGCGGTTTCGGTCCCCTTTCTGTCTTTTGGTTCCTCTTTCCTCCCAAGTAAGGGAATAAGCCCTGAGGAAGGAGCGCTCCGGGAAACCGCGCAACCAAGTGTTGCCTGGCGAGAGGTAAGACAGTAGCTGGCGCAGCGGAGGCGGGCTCGGGCTCGGGCTGGGGGACGTGGGCCGCAGCAACTTGAAAAAGGAGGGCAAAGCCAGAGTCGGTCCCGTGGCCAGGGGAAGGACCTGCAGCCAAGGCCACTGCGCCCACCCTGAGGGTGCCACCTGCTTCCAAGTCCCTGCAGAAGGAGACCCTCGGCTGGAAGGGTGAGGGCGCCGGGAGCGGCACGGGGCAGGGCGCCGGCTCCCTTCTGGGTTGGGAGGACCTTCCACACCTCAAAGGTGTGCGGGAGGGAGGCGGCCTTGCTCCAGGCAGTTTGCCGAAGCAACTGGTCAGATTTCTCCCCTTCTGCACTTACCTTGCTCTTTGGTGTCCAGTTCGCGCTCCAAGGTGCACAAGGGCAGCTAGGGGCGAGGAACACCTACCGTTTGACCGTTTGACCGCCGACGCTGTGGCGGTCCACGGGTTTCAGGACTTGGGCACTCCGCAAAGCTCCTGGGCCAGGGGAGCTCAAAGGGAAGCTGCAGAGAACACGGATACCCTGACAAATATGAGCTTGGGAAGGGGAGAAGGGTCAGGGAGAGCATGTAAAGCTGACCTGTTTAGTCTCTGGGTCACACGATGTGTGTATGTGTGTGTGTGGCGGGGGGTTGTGTGTGTCTTGAGGGACGCACATCAAGTATCACCTGTGGGCTTTCGAAAACTCCACCAGTCCACCTGCAGATTCTGATATTTTCTTCCTCTGGAGGAGTGGACTAGAATTTGGGGAGGGGGCCTGTGGAGTTGGAAAAGCCCTACAGGTGATTCTGATGCGCCGCCTCCATCCCCGCCATAATTGCAGTGGAAAGCAGGGGACCAGAACGTGGAGGCAGCACCCAGAGGCGAGCCTTCCAGCTGCAGAACCCAAAGTGGCGGACAAGACCCCTCCCCCGCCTCCCCACCCGGGAGGCCGGAGGGTCTGCTGCAGCGCGCGGGGTTTTGTGGCTGCGCCGCAGTGATGCGCGGGAGAACTGCGAACCGGGGGCTCACTCCTAGCAGGCGCCACGCGGTTGTTTCCTCCGGCTTCATTAGCATACAATGACCTCCCTGTCCGGAAGACGACCTTGTCAATCTTTTATTTTGGGTGCTTGGGGGAATGCACCTTGGCTCTGGAGGTGCGGACCGGGGCGGGGGGGGATGGGGGGGGGGGGGTTTCACTGATGAGGGGCAGAGGTCAGGACACAGGGTCGGGACTTCCCCTTTGGTTCCAGTCCTGGGAACGTCATCCTATTTCGGTGCCTGGGATTCTTTGCCTAAAACACAGCCTGCAGAGAATCGTTGTCAATGAAGGAATGAAGGACATTAGATCCTAGGGGGCAAATATTATCACTGTTGGACACACACACACGCACACGCACACGCACACACCTTTGTGCTTTATGACCCTCTCATTCCAGAAATACGTCATAACATGGGGAGGGACTTCACCATCTGTGGTGTTAGACAGGCTGTATTTGCCAAAGATTCCGTCCTAATATAAATTATACCCATTAAATAAAGCAGCTGCAACTAAGCTAACTTCCCTGTTGTTCCCTTGTTGTACCCCCATCTAAGTATTTTCTTTGCCAGTCTTGCCTAAAGTTTGTGCATAGGGCTGTAGGCATTATTACAGGTATTTTTATGGGAGGGGTTTGGGGGTAGCGAGCCAGTAGATGAATCTTTGCCACCTTACAATTTCATGTCAGTGTTTAGTTCAGATCAACCAAGATGTGGGGGGAAATGATAAATGTCAGAACGTCTTGGAATCTAGACTCTCAGAAATAGGAGAAACTGCTCAGGAGATCTGTTCCTTGCCCCTACCCAAACTCTCCTCAGAGCACCTTCAACAAGTGCCAGAGGATCCTGCCAACCTGTGCCCAGAGGTCTGGGCTGTGCACTGTGTGATCTGTTGGGGGAGGAAGCCACAAAGCAGCTCTCCCTGCCTGCTGATCTCTGGGGGAGAAGGCTGCCTCCAGCTCCTCCTTTGGATGGGGAGGGGAAAGAGAGAAGTGCCTTTTTGTTGTGGGTAAAACTCTTTAAAATATATATATTATTGAATTACATCATTATGACAAAATTATGACTTTTTTTTATTTAGTATAAAAGCAATTCATGTCGATCGAATGCAGGAAATTTGGAAAGCTGAAAACTGTACAAAGAACGAAACACAACACCTACAATTTGATCACCCAGATTCCACACTGTCAATATATTGGCCTATTTTCTTTCCATCTATTTTTGTGCTCTGAAATCTTACAATCCATAGACAGCCAACATTTACTGGGTGCTTAAAACATGTACTTTGCAGGTATTAAGTATTTTGTATTCACAGTGTCATTAATCCTCAGAAGTCTTTCTAAGGCAAGCATTTATGTATTATTAACCTCACAGAGTTCAGGTGACTTGCCCAAATCACACAGCTAGTATGTGGCAAAACCAAGATTCAAACCCAGGCTGTCTGACTCCTGGTCTATTGCTTAGCCTCTGTAGCTAATGCTTCTTGCCTTCCCCACCCCCGCCCCCCCCAATTAGTGTTGTAGCAAAAAGTCCTTCATGCACATCAGCTTCATGACTGCATAGTATTAAGCTGTTAATCGTTTAAGTCATTTCCTGTCTTTAGCAACTACAAATAACTGTACAACATCCCCGGGCAAAGTCTGCTGCACACATTTCCAAATACTTCCTTTGAATAGAATTCCCAGAAGTAGACTCACTGGGCCAAACGGTATGAATGTTTTAAGGCCCCTGGTATATATGACAAGCTGCTTTTCGGAAAGGCTACAGCAATTTACACTTCCATCCAGCAGAGGCAACTGTGCTATAGTCAAAGCACATAACCTCTAGGGACTCACATAGACCAGGGCCTCACACAACCAAGCCAGACCACACAAGCATCTCCCTGATCTCATGGGAAAAGGAATCACAGTAATCCTGCTTTACACACACAACTACGAGTATGGAACCCATAGAGTATGAAGCTGTACCTGTTTTTATGTGAACATGTGCCAGTTGCAGAATTCTCTGGCTAGAGGTCACATATTAACTTTGAACTATTGTGTAAAATACTATTGTGTATATGAGCTTAAGATCCCCTTTCTCTACACAAGTAATTAGAATAGCCCTCACTCCTATGAATGTGCATCACTACCAGCCAGACTCAGCCAACACAAGCAATCCGTAACAGCTTCTTCAGACTGGCCATATTCACAGAGCTGTTTGTTTCCTCTAAGTATCCGAATTCCACAACCAAACCACAGTGTGAGTTGATATCACTTTATGTTGTAATGGAGTTCACCACCCCTCACCTCCCAAAAGCACTGATGTTTAGTGACTACAAATAAAATTAAAAAATAAGGCTATACACATGATAAAAAAAGTGTTCTCAGGTGAAGAAAATGTGGCCACAGGAGAGAAACTGAATTAGGCAATACAAAAAGACACAAAGGGGAAATTCTCAAAGAAAACAAATTGGCCCTTGCTCTGAGTTCTCTCTGGTTTGCTTCATAGCCACCTCTGCCACCAGCAGTGGGATTAGTGGCCCTGGAATATCATCTGTTGCTGTAAAAGGAATAAATGTCAATTGAGCCCCCACTATGAAATCTACTTATTCAAAAAGAGTTCAGGTCTTAAAATGTTCCTCTGAGAATCATTCCCTGACTGTTCATCTGGGTTAGAGACCTCTCTCTGCTCCACCTGTAGCACCTGTGCATACACTTGCCTCCCTATGGTAAAAATGATTTATCTGCATATCCCCCACTCAACTGTGATCTCCCGAAGGTACAGATGGCACTGTGCCCCCAGCACCTGATAATTAAATGTGATGAATGGGCACATAAGAGAATCTTCTAGCTACTATGCTGGTGCTTTATGAACATTGCTCTTCTGATGCATCTTCATTCTGCTCAGACTACTCAGTCTCAGAAATGTACCTGAAAGGTGTCTAGAGCTGTGCTGTCTATTTTCACATGGGACTATCACCATTTTCATTTAATTCATTAAAATTAAATGAAATTTAAAATTCCATTCCGCAGTCACATTTCCAGTACTCAAATGCCACATATGGCTGCTAGCTACCATATTGGAGAATACACATGTGGAAGATTCCAATTATTGCAGACAGTTCCACTGGACAGATTAGATTGTAAGCTTGGGGCAGGCAGGGAGTGTGAGTCTTTTCCTTTGCAACCAGCACAATGCCTGGCCAGCAGAGGAGGAGGGGGAGAAAGAAAGAGGAGGGATCGTGGTAGTAAATGTAGTAACATTACCTAAACCATTAATTGAGCACCTACTTTGTGCCCCACATTGTGCTATATTTTGTATATGCATTATCTCACTTAATATTCATATCACACCAAACCTGATATTAGCCCTACTTCACAAACAAGGAAAGTGAGTCTCAGAAAGTTTGGTCACAAAGCTAGTAGGAAAGGCTAAGTTTTAACTCAGGCCCCTATGATTTCCCAAGGGAAAGAATTGGTATAATTTGCAAATGTCAATGGTATTTCAAGAGTGTAAAATTTTGCTTGATGGGTGAGGTAAGGAGAAAGGAACCCACCTATACTGTAGCTTAACCAGAGGCCCAAAACCTCCTTAGGAGAACAGGCCAGTCAACCACCACCCTCCGTGTTTCTACCCAGTGAGGCCTGTCATCACCTCCAGAGAGAAATACTTGCTTGGTCAGGATCTCACAGCCAATTAATAGCATAACCTGGCTCCCCACTCCCTGGTCAGTGCCCTTTCCAGGCTCCATCCTGCCTCATAGGCCATTGGGTTCAGTGTCCTCACTATCATTATCACTCTTGCTCCAGTTTTCTCTAATTACTTCATTCTTAATGAATAAAACACAGAATGTCAGGGGAGGCCTAATCAGCACCAAGTACAGTAAGATGATCACTTCTTTTGTTTTACATTTTATATTTCTGTTGAAACTCTGTAAGGTTGAAGTAGGAATCTATACCAATAATACCTGTTAAGTTTAGTTTCAACTGAA